CTTGTCAATTCTTCACCCACCCCTCCTATCTTACTGCTGTGGTCTAAACATCTAAATGGAAGTCAAAGTGATATAAGCGGGTTTTACGAGCCTTTAAGACTTAAGTCTTTCATACAAGGACGCAGTACAGTGCAAAAGTCTCAAGGCACCCAAATGTCTTTATATTTTTTTTTAGGAAAACAGATGCAACAATTTACTGAAAGATGCAAAAACAAATGGGAATGCAGCTTTTAAGAGAAAAACAGAGTTCAATTGTAACAAGCAGGAGATGAAAGCCAATGTTTGTTTGGACCGCTTTTATTCTTTAACACCTGAACTCTCTAAGGCAGCTTTCCTGAAACTTCTTTAAGGAGTCTAGAGGAATAGTTCTCCAGGCTTGTTGAAGGAGATTCAAAGTTCTTCTTTGGATGTTTCTTTCTTTTGTTCTGTTCTCTATCAAGATGATCGTGCACAACCTCAGTAATGTTAATATTCTGGGGAGGCCAATCCCTGACTGAGAGTGGTCTGCTGTGAATGACTTTGTGTTCAGAATTCCATGAATTCCATCAATATTCCCATAACAATATAAAATGTTCAAATTTGTCATTCTTCAGCTTTTTCTTCCTCTTTCCCTTCCTGAATAATAGCTTCTTGATAGCTACCCATCAACTGAAACCATCTCTGATGGGATGCAAAAGCACTGTGTCAGGTCATTGCCGGATTCTTTCCTATTTCTTAAGGACATGACTTGCAAATAGTGTTCATGTTCTGTAGATAGTCCTCTTCAGGCCTGCCACTTCTTCTTTTTTCCATCACTTGTACAGTTTCCTCAAAATGTATCTATGTACTCACTCTATACTATGCAGAGATATGGCAAGTTTTCAGGTAAAAGCTCTTTGGGAATCACCTTGTTGGAGCAAAAATACTATTTTATGCCTGTCAAACTATTTATGGCATGTTTCATAGATTCCACTAATGAAATAGAAACAAATTACAGAAAGATAAAAAAAATAAACTTGGTTCTTTGCTACGTTGTTGGTTATATGTGGACACAACAGTGGCACGTCTCTTGATTCACAGGTCAGTGCTATATGGTTTTAGAAATATACATATATATTCTTTTAAACATGGTTTAAATGAATATTTTTTCTGTTGCTAAGTCAATACAACTTTAAGAACAGTAACAACTATATAAAATATCCAAGTCAGAGTTATATAATGCATTAAACTTTTATATCTGGCGTGATGGCACAAATAAAATACTTATTTGTCTGCAAACCGCTGCATAACAAATCAGTGGCTGCGTATGTGTTTGCTACTAGATATTCAAGCAGAATAATGCATATTCTTCCTGTTTAACTTTTTATGAGTGCAGACAATGCTCCATAGGCTTAGACAGATGACAGAGGTCTATATATTTAAACAACACATGTTTAATAAAGGTAGTGAATTCTCTTTTATGATATTTTACTAAGATCTCATATGCAACGTACTGTGCATCCAGATGTGAGACACATCAGCGAGTGTGTCATATTTATTGCAGTGACTGCCTGCAGTGAGTGTGCTCTGACTTATTCGCTCCTATGGGACACCTGACATCTCCTCTTTGATGCAAGCCTTTCAGTTCTTAAGTCTTCAACTGTATGGGCACTTTCACAATACGGAGACGGGGTATATCTGTCAGGGGGACCATCAGAGATGATTTGTTGATGATTTGATTTTCAGCCTAGGGAGCATATGGCTGCATAAATAAAAGCTTCCAAACAGACTCAGCATAGCGGCGACCTGATGATGGAGCTGTGGCATAATCTCTGAGATGGAAAGAGAAAATTATGACAAACTGCACTTCTGAGCCACTCTGCTAAACTCCTGTTCATATGTCTTCCACTTATGTGCGAACAGAGAAACGTAAAGTATGATCATTGCACCAATGCTTGTTTTGTTTGTCAGGCTTAAGCTAATTAATGCATGTTTTTATTCACCTGCCTCAGATTCCTGCATTTTCTCATTCAGGGCACTGGTATCTTCTGTTATGTCACAGATAAAAGTCTGATCAAACACCATCCTTAATCCTCAAGCTTAGTAACGGCAATCGATTTAAAAGTATGAAAGTCAATTTCCTCAGGCGCTGTGCCGCATCGCTGCCGCTCTTATAGTGAAATGGCTTTTCTTTACAAATTCGAACATTGCCTTTATTAAGAATTAGTCCTCAAATACATTTTCAGCATATGACTTTTTTTTTGACATTTCTTATGCCAAGTTCATATCGAGTACAAGTGCCCATCATCTGCTGGGTATCCACTTTGATAGCGAGCCATCAGTACGACGAGCATGCAGAAAGTGGTACTCAGAAAACAGTTATTTCTGTAATGAGCTACAGCAAGATCAGATGCTCCTCTGCCTCCTGTGCCACTCAGGTGAAGAGCAGCTTGGAAAATAATGTTTTTCTGGTAATGACCAAGCAAACAGCAGTGACCCTCCTCCAGCTGCTCTTGTTAAATTTGTGATAACCACTTCTTGAATCAGTGTATTTTAATTAATGGCTTCGCACTCTCTTCCCGCTAGCATTACCTGTCACGATCCTGGGTCTTTTGACCCAGCGTTTTGAGTTTTAGTTTATGGTTTATGTTTAAGCCCTTCAGGTTTTCTAAGTTCCTTTTTTTGTTGTTATAGTTCTTTGTCATTAGATTCCCCTTGTGTCTTCCACCCCTGTTAAGTCTCCCTTGCCCTTCATGTGTTTCATGTCTGTGTCTTACGTTGTCATGTCTGCGTCTTATGTTTCCTGTTTTATTTTGAAGAGGTCTTGTGTTCCTGTGTTCATCGTGTTTAGTTTTGCTCTTCCACTGTGACGTCGTTATGTTCATGTGTTCAGCTGTTCCGCCATGTGTTCCCACTTCTCTCATTAGCCTCCTGTGTGTATTTAGTCTGTGCCTTCTCATTCAGTCTTTGTCGGATCGTCTGCGTTGTTCCCAGCCATGACCTGCGTTCAGGTTTTCATATAGCCTCATCATCATTGCCATGTTTAGAGTTTTGTTTGTTTTTCTGTTTTCCAGGGTTTTTAATAATAATGGATTGCATTTATATAGCGCTTTTCGGGACCCCTCAAAGCTCTTTACAATACCACTATTCATTCACTCTCACATTCATACACTGGTGAAGGCAAGCTACAGTTGTAGCCACAGCTGCCCTGGGGCAGACTGACAGAAGCGAGGCTGCCATATTGCACCATCGGCCCCTCAGGCCATCACCAGTAGGCGGTAGGTGAAGTGTCTTGCCCAAGGACACAACGACCGAGACTGTCCGAACCGGGGCTCGAACCAGCAACCTTCCGATTACAAGACGAACTGCAAACTCTAAAGCCACGATCGCCCCATAGTTTCATAGTTCATGTTTCCTTTCTAGTTTACCCAGTTTAGGTTATTGCTTAGTTTGCATTGTTTTTGCCTCTTTATTTTTTACTGTTCTGTCTGCCTTAATAAACGGCTCATCATCAGTTAAGTTTGAGTCTTAGAATATCTGCACCTGGGTCCGCTCTTCACACTCCACGCAGTTTCCCACGGCAAACTGTGACAATTGCCCTCGACTGTTTTAAAATTATCCACAGCTGAAGTAAAGGTTCGATGGGTTTGTAACTTTAAACCGCACTTTTTTATCAGAAGCTATCGAGCCTGTGAATATACTTAATATAAACATATGAAGAAAACAGAGAAAATTTCAACTCTTCCTTTCAATCAGCACAAAGGGAATTTGCCCATTATTTCAGGACTGTGGCTTGTTAGTTTTATTTGTTATTTATTTATCTATTTATGTCCACATATTTGCTATAGTATACCTTTTTCCCACTTAAAACTCAAATGAATTACTACAATCCAATAAACTATTAAACAGTCACAGGCTTTTTGATTGTCCTCTTTGGCTGGTGTGGTCAGAAACAGCTACTTCGTGAAAAGAGATTAGTTGAGCATACTAAAGGGCCCATTAATGTCGTTGCAACCAGTGAGATCACCACAGCCTCGTCACCATTCATTCCAGTGTTGATTGCATGGGTACTTGCTGAAGTATTCTACTTAATGCCACTCAAAAAAAACCCGTGCATCAGCACTGGTACTGGAGCAGTGGAAGTCAAAACAGAAAGCAAAGTTACTGCAGAATTTTCTCAAAAACTCCTCTTTTCAAGCTGTTACAGCATCTTACTCTGCATAAGCTAGGAATCTCTGAGCTTCTGCATTGATATTTCTTTGAAATGGCAATGAAAAGCGACACAATCGGATTCTTGTGTGTTCAACCCAACCATGCCGGCAACGGGACCTGCACGAGGTTACACCAGAACGTGGTTTGTGCCAAGGGATGTGACGTCATTTTTGCTGCATGCTGTGTGAGTGACGGGTATAAAGGGTATAATATAGCAGAGACAGACAGCATGAGACTGGATAAAATGCATATTTTTAAAAATGAGGATCCGTAAAAATTAGCCAATATTTGGTTGCACAGCAGGTTATAAGAAACACATATGTTGTCATTGTTTATTGGTTTGAAATCATTCGTAAAGTTTCCACAATATCCCCAAGCATTTCGTTTGGTTTGTGGGTATAAAATAAAAAAAGTATTGAATGGTACTGTTAGCCATATTATTCGATCTACACTCTAAGGATTTTTTTTTTTATAGTTGTGGAGGTATTGCAATAAAAAAAAGGAATTTATTGGGTTTTCAGATTCTTAGATTCCATCTGGATGCCTGTCTTCAGTATGTGGATTCTGTATGGCTTCTAAAATTGGCAGAACAGACTTTAGGGTTAGCATTAGCAGTGTGACATGGTGTAAAAAAAGGTTGGAGTGTGGGTTTCTGTTTACCAGGCTAAAGACATAGCTAGTATTAACGACCGAATGAAAATGGAAGTCTTGAAAGACACATTTTCTAAATATAAACTTTGATACTTTTGCACCTAGATAATCAAAAAAAATAATATATATCTTATGTTGGGATCTATATATTGTTTTTATATGCAGGTATGCATTCTCACCTCGCACTACAATGGTAGTGGACTTCTTAGCAGGGTTTCCCACATTGTTGCTGGCCACGCAGCTGTAGACCCCCGCCTCATCTGAGGTGATGGCCGGAAGCGTAAGTGTGCCGCCCTTCACCACACTTCTTTGTGGCAGGCTGTCATTACTGCTGACCCAGGTGAGAATGGGAGGTGGCTCACCTCCAGTAGTGATGCAAACCAAGGATACTGTCTGTCCTGGATTCACCACAATAGGATCCTCTACCAGCAGTTTGATGGACGGGGATGCTGTGGAAAAAGAAAGCATCGATGATAGACTGGAGGAAGATGGACGGCTTTGACAGTTATGACAGTTACAGAATAACTCAGCTGAGAAAATGCATGACAGTTCATCTTTCTCTTTCTACATCGTTCTTTTTTAGGATATAATTATTTGGTTGCAATAAGCTTTCTGTGCACAAAAGTCAGTAATGATGTGGAGTACCTGTCTTATTGGTAAGTCTGAAGATAACACTGCGGTCAGGAATCCCACACACATTTCTGACAGAGGCGATGCAGCTGTAGTTAGCGTAGTCTTGGGGACGCAGATTCTTCAGCTTCAGAATCTTCGTTTCCCCCTGCAGCTCAGACGAAAAAACAACACTGGTATGCAAATGTGTGCAAAAATATGAACATAATCAAGTGAAAGGAATATAAAAAAATAGGCACTGGGAAGGAGAATACAAAGGCCAAATTGCTCCACAGAAAAGTCGATATTTATTAACACGTATGTAATTTTAATAAAGGCAGGTGAAAAAGTGCCACAGAGTTCAGACATTTGATAGTTAAATCTAAATGAAAATGATTCTGATGTTTTTCAGCAATGAGTGGATTACTCTCTAGTGAAAAGCCCTGTAGCATTTTTTGCCACAGAGCTCCAGGAACACAGATGAGCACAGTAGGGGATCTCTCCACAGAAATGGCTCGCCCATTGACAAAGTGCGTTTGATTCCAACCGGGCCTGTCGACTATGAGCCCCACCCGAAATGTTACAATAAGGATGTAAATCTTTGATCTGGCTGACTCCAGTGTGTGGGTGCAGGGATGCGTTGGGGAGGGAATCAAAGATGAGTCAGCCACATGCTGTGGCAGCACACACAACGCTGCAATCACTCACGACTTTCACACCCTTTCATTTCTGGTGAGGCTCATGGATAAATTAATTGCATTAGATGAGCCATGGACCCAACATTTCGCTTCCTTTATTTTTCCGTTACCACTTTTGCTTTGAAGCGGATATCAGGGGAACGATGCCTATGGTACTGAGGTATTCAAAATGCAATTGGTGCAACTGGTAGGAAAGAAAATTTGGAAAATGCAAGGGGTTAAAGCCATTAAACCAAAGTGGTCCGAGGGATTGATGACCATATTGATGGACAGACTGAACACTAAAGTACATAAAGAGCTTTGGGAATGAGACTTAATAGGTGTCTATAGAAATTTGGGAGGAGTGTGGTGTCTATCAGCCAAAAAATATGGCATCTCTAGCTTTGTTTTCATGCTTTAACTGCATGTTTGTGAGGAAGAAAAACTAAAATTGAAACCACTTGGGCTTAAGATGTTTGGTGGTAAAAATGACTTGAGGGTATTTTTCATGCAAGCAGCAGGACACTGGCTCTGGGAAAATATCTGAGGGAGATGAATCAAAAAAATGGTTACCACATTCTGAGATGGGGTAACCATTTGAGACACTTTTTGCCTTTTTAGCTTTTTAATTCATTAATAAATCATCCACTAGACTGTTTGATTACCTACTTAAAAGCCTTGACACTCGGATCAAAATAATTTGCTAATTCCTCACAGGAAACACTAACATTTATACCTGCAAATCTGATACAATAATAATGCAAACTTTCACCAAACAATGTGAATAAAAAAGGTCTTATCAGCCTCATTTCACATTCTTGTTGCTGGTCAAATTGTATCTAAGTGAAGTGAACTACATTAGGCCTGCGGTTGTAAATGTTAATAAGCAGTTAATAAATTGATTTTCTTTCTGACCTTTTCCATAAGCTAGCTGAACAAACAGTCGGTTTCAGTAGGCATCCTAATTAATTACAGCAAAAAAACAAAAAAAACAAAGGTTTTTTTCCACATCTTGGCAACTCCAACACTGATATTACAGCCCATCACAAATTAGAAAATGATACATTACAGCTTATTGTCATTTTATAGAAGGTAACATCTGAAAAAAGAGAATATCATAGCACACAAAAACATCAAATCCATAAGTGTTAATTATTCTAATAGCCTAAAATTGAAGCAGAAATAATGGATGAAGTGGATAATTGTGCTATTTTCGACACATTGCAGGCAAAGTTTTGCGGCCAGAGGGAAAACGTTACAGACAGCAGGACGTGGTTTCTACAATAAAGCCACACCTCTGCTCGCTTAATTATGAACTGGTTCAAAATGCCACTCCTGCATTTCTACAGTATCAGTGGGAATATAAAGCATTTTGCTGGGGTGGAAAAATTGTGCCAGAGTGAAGAAAGGAAGTCGTAAAGATAAACTTAACTAAAAATCCATGGATAAAAAAGGAAAAGGAGACAAAAGGAGACAAAAGGAGACAAAACGAGACGCTGCAGCTTTGATTTAGGTCAGTTACAAGTGATTCCCTGAATAGTCTGCGGAGAGTTCAGGCAAGTTCCAATATATTGTTGAAAAATAATGTTATTAGCCATTTATATGTGCAAATTACTTGGAGTTTAGTCAGGATTTATTTGGGGTTGGATTCACGTAATGCTAATCTCTGAGTTTTGGGTTGTGTTCAAATTTCAGACCCAATTAAAGCTTTAATAGAGGGCAGGATGAAGGAGCGAGGGAAGGAGCAAAGAGGTATGAAGAGCAGGATGGAAGGGAGAAGTGTCTTTTGGGGCCCGGTTGTGCAGCTTCTTCAGACTCCTTCACCCACTCTATTAGTTCCCAGCCATCTTTCTCCATTTGGCCAAACATCAATTTCACTTCTTTTTTTTTTCTTTTTTTAAAAATCTTTTTTCCTTTCCTCTTGCCACTTCTTAAGCCTCTTTTCCCCTCTCAGATGTCTTTTTCTCTTTGTCATAGTTTTGTATTCTCTCAGACGCTCCATTCCACATACAACTCACATCCAATTCGATCAATTAAACAAAAAAGAAAAAGAAAACTACAATTCCCTCACAAGTGGCTGAACAATCTCAATCAGTTCTTTGTTGACTGCACAAAATCCATTTTGGAACAAAGCTTCTCAATTTTCAGACTGTAAAGAAAATCCACTTGCTCATCTGAAAGAACTGATTTGTGAAGAAAAGTCTTTCCGCAGCCTTTCAGCATCTGCAAATCCTTAATATGTATGTAACTCATGAAACTGGGTTAGTGAGGCTGGTACTGCACTCTAAGGTATGCAGCAGGGTTTTATAACAAATAGCCACAACAATAATGTTATTGCCAATACATAATCAAATCACCTAAATCAAATAGAAACACTATAATTACGTGACAACGTGCTGCGTTGATTCGGTAATTAGCAACTGCCTCTTACTCATCTCGCTAAAAAAAAATGCAGAAAGGGTGTGCGGCTGTTGTGACAGTGTGATGTTGGGTTTGTTAACACATTGTTAAATGAGGTTAAGATATATCATGATTTACATTTGTATGTGTATGCATCAGTTTTAAAGCTTTGCAGTGCCTTTAAAAATATGCCATAATATGCAATAATACAGTGCATTACCAATATTAATAATGGCACTGCTAAGAAAGATGGTTTACTTTAGGTGCAGGGCTTATTTTTATTTTTTTTTCGAAAGGCCATTTATATTCGTAATAAAGGCCATTGCGTAATTCATGGAGTGCAATGAAGCTTCACATCTGATGGCAAAAATAATACTTTGCTCTTTCTGTTTATTGCAACTGAAACCAAAACGCGGTCCCATGGTGAGAGAGTAATATACTGTGGGAATTTCTGGAGAATTCCAAGCCTTTTTTTGTTTGTTGGTGTTTTCCAAAACTGCTTGATTTATAATGAAAATGTTTGTTGGAATTTCTTTCGCCTTCCCATGGTTAAACAAACAGCACACACACACATGAAGGTGCCACAGCTGCGACTTAATTCTGGTCATGAGTGGATCGCTAAATAAATATGAGAGCACGCTGTGAGACAGAGTTTCAGCTAATTTAGCACCTGATAAACAGAGCTTGTGCTTTGCCTTCAGAAGGTTATTAAATGGTTTCAGACCCTCTGTACGGTATCAGCCTATTTGTTCTTTCTTTGTAGTCTCTGGGGGAGGGCACAAGGTGCATGTCTTAATGACAGGTTGGGAAAAACAGAATTCAAAGACTTTTACCAAAGGTTCACATTCAAATGCTAACAACATTAGACAACAGTCAGTAAAAAAAGACGGCTGTAGAGTCATGGTTGGAAACTTGAACCCATCTTGATGTGTTATGATGATGGTGGCAATGTCAGACAAATCTACAGACTGGTCTGTGAGCATCTGGCAACCCGAGCAGTTTTAAGTGGTTGCTGGAGGTTGCGTCAGTTGCTGGGAAAAATGCAAAAAATGCAAAATCCTCAATCATAAAGGCTGACAGACCCGTGACAACCACCTGTCACTATGGAAAAACATATGTTCTCCAGCTGGTTAAGAAAAAAGCCTCCTTGCGTTCGCTTTGGTCACGAGGATATTGCTGTGATCATGTTTTTAATGGAAGTGGTGGACTTGTCGAGCGTTGGTCAAGCAATAAAGTCGTTCTTCGTACAGCAAGTTCTGCTGTCTCTTTAAAAATGCAACACCAGAAATGTTGTCTTCAACGTAAAAGTATCACCTTTTGTAAGAAGGAATCAGCATTAAATCATAACTTTGACTGAGAATGTAAACCCCGTCCATTTCAAGTTCATGTCGCACTTTATCAAGTTGTACTATCAATCAGCTAGTAATTAGCAAATATTTGCAGAAAAGCATGAAAATCAACAGACAACCTGCTAGCAACCAAAGCAGTCATGAGTGACAGCCAGCCCCATAGGAGCCACGGCTAATTAATCAGAAAGCACGTTTCCCTAGTAACCAATGGTTGTATCACGTCCAATATGGCGGATAACCCGCGAGCCATGTCCACATGGTGTCACATAGGAAGGCGCCGTGGAAGTCTTTCTTGACATTTGCAAACACTTTGTTGATGAATTTGTTGTCTTGGCTATTACATTTGTTTCGTAATTCTTGGTCATACCATGTCCTTCTTTTAGACCTTTAAAATAGATCAACTTTCTCTACATGTGCCATTCATTTTAATTTGAGATATTCATTCAAATCACGTTCCTGTCGACTTACCTGTGTGAAAAATGGCTCATAGATCTCCACACCCTTGTCTGAGCCTTGCGTCAGGACCTCTCTCCCACGATGCCAGCTGTAGCGGACAGGCGGGTTGGAGTTAGCCACACAGCGGAGGAATACAGTCCTCTCATAGTAGAACTGTTCCTTAGCTTCTCCTATACTCTGGTGCACTGTCACCACCGGGTCATCAAGGTCTGTGAAAGGATCCCACACACACACAGAGGAGGAAGGCATTAATAAACACTTTCCCATTTCTCACTAAACAACAAATCTATGGATCAATATGTTACCATATTTCCAAAAAAAAA